ACCTGTGCACCGAACAATGGAAGGACGCTCATGATGTGATGCGTGATCTCGCTACCAAGTTGGCATCCCGCTGCAGTCAGCGTGCCCTTGCTTCTGCGCCGGCTGCCCGACGTCTTCTGTCTCTGATGGGTGCATCGGCCACCCTGTTGCAACCCACTGCTCTCATCAAGATCCAGACTGCGCAACGCTTCGACATAATTAAGCACGCCAAATCAGCACCCTGCACTGCTCCCATGCGTCCTTCCATCATCCTGCCGTCCAGCGCCCTGTAGAAGCCGCCCCGCGCCACTGCGGCAGCTCCTCTGCAACCTCGGGCACCTCCTCGAGGCCAGCTGCGAAGATAGCGGCGGCGCCAGGGCCAGCCACCTTGAGAAGACGGGTGGAGGTGGTGCTGACGGTAGTGGAGAAGGAAATGACTATTTCGGCGTCGAAATAAGAAAGAAAGACCATGATGGAGACGATCATGCTGACGACGACGATGGTGATGACGATGATGGTGATGGATGGTGACGGTGATGAGGCTGATAGTGATGATGAAGCTGATGATGGTGATGATGTTGGTGCAGATGATGGTGATGGTGATGGTGATGGTGATGGTGATGGTGTTGACGATGCTCATAATGTCGAAGGTGATCTGATGTGTGATGATACTGCGGATGTTGATGATAATGATGCTGATGCTGATGATGTTGACGACGTCGCTGATGATAACGAGGAGGACGATGGTGATGATGGTAATAATGCTGATGCTGATGTTGATAATGATGATGCTGCTTATGCTGATGATGACGAGGACGAGGACGACGACGATGATGAGGATGATAATGATAATGGAGGCGGTGATGATGATGCTGATGCTGATGCTGATGATGATGATCATCATGATGATGTAGGCGGGGTAACGGCAATGGTGATAATGCTGCTGATGTGGCACTGGTGATGGCTGTCGAGGAAGCCAACTGTATCAGCGAGCGTCTTGCTCACGCCACGCGAAACCGTGCCAGCGCGGAGGCTCGCGCCAGAGAACGCCGTCGCGCCAGGGCGTCCCTCCCGAGGTACGCGGCAGTGGCTTCGCTCTCACCATCCCTCCCCTTGCGCCGCGATCACTTGGCGGCGCGCACAGGGGAGTAGCGCGAGAGGGGGCGCCTTCTAAGAAGGCGGGAGGCTTCTAAGAAGGCACACCTTCTAGAACCCCCTCGGCCCCCTGGCTTCTAGAAGGCCGGGTCCTTCCCTCCTCCTCCTCCTCCTCCTCCTCCTCCTCTTCCCCTCCTCCTCCTCCTCCTCCTCCTCTTCCTTCTGAGAAGGCCCTTGCGTTACAAGACGCCCCCCCCCCCCCGCTTCCAGACGGCCGACCGCCCTCCCCCCAGGCATCCTCCGATATGACTTTCCCCATGCTCCGCTCCACAGGTGCCTATCCCTTCCCAGGGGGCAATTTTTCGTCTCGGATCCATTCCTGATGGCCCCAGGGCCCGATAACGGGCCCCAGGGGATAGCCAAAACCGATAGCAAGGGTGCGCGATGAGGCTGCAAAGGCCTTGTACGCGCATGTCGGAGTTGTTTCGAGCGCGGCGGGCCATCGAAAATGGCTAAAAATTCAACTTTCCAGGTAGCCGGAATGACGCCAAGATGGCCCAAGACGGCTCAAGAGGCTCCCAAGGCAGGCTCAGGGTAGACCGAGAAGCCCCAAGATGGCTCAAGAGGTCTCAACGAGGCCCTTCTGAAGAGCCCGAGGAGGCCAAAACCATGACTGTCTTTTGCTTTTTGAGCGTTTTTGAGGTTATCACTCGTTCGGGCATCCAACCGCCAAAGACGGCCCAAGAAGCCTCCAGGAGGTCTCCAAAATAGCTCCAAGAGAGCCCCAGCGGCCCCCGAGAGTGACCGACGTCAGCCCAAGAGGACCCAAAGATCGCCGAAGGGGCTCCCAAACGGGCCCCAAGCCAGCCGTGTACCGCTCCAAAAGGGCACCAACGCGGCCTACAGAGGCCCCCAAGGCGGCCTCCATAGGTGTCAGATGGGCAACAAATTCCCAAAGAGAGCCCAAAATACCCCAAGAGGCCCCCAAGAGGCCCCGAAGATGCCCCCAAGAAGCTTTCAGGAAGCTCCCAGGAGGCCAGAAGCCCCAAGAAGGCCAAAAGAAACCGCCTCCTCCTCATCATCATTTTCT